GGTCTTTTAAAATCGGATCAGGTTTCTCTGCTGGCCAGAGGCTTCTCTTACAAATTGCCCTCTCTCTGTTTCCTGGCTCCTGCCGGGGGCCAAGATCCCTCTCACCCCTCAGAAGGGTCTTCAGGAACAGGACCCGGCTCCCCGTTTGCCAGGGACCTCGCCAACCAAAGGCCTACCTCTTTGATTTAATTGTAGTGGCGTGATCTGCTCTCGGTGTTGCGCGCTGGTCCCTGCCTCCTGCGTCCTCTGCCGCAGCGCCAGTCCCCGCCGGTCCGGCCGCAGCCTGCGGCCTGCGTTGCCCGCCTGCGTCGGTCGTCTTGCAGTGTCTTGTTCCTTAGAGTTCCATCCCTTACAGAGAGCTGCTGTGCATAGGACCGAGTGGTATAACCTGCCTCTCTCCTTTGCTGGGTTAGATAAAGCAGGCTGCTGGGCTGTGGTTGTGTTTACTGGGCAGTCGACCACCACCCCTGTGTGGTCCCTGAATAGCCTAGACAATGATGACTGGACCTTCCCACCTGTCTCAGCCATCCGTGTTGTCTTCCATCCTCTGGAACCTCTGGGGCACCGTCCTGGTAGGTTCCCCTCAGCTCTGCCCTCTCTTTGCCTTAGTAGCAGCCTTGCTGGTGGTAGAGTGCCCGCCTGAGTTGGGGCTTGTCACACCTGTTTCTGGAGCCCTCTAGAAACACAGAGGACCCCTCTTTTCCCTATCCCTTCTCAAGGTTGAGGGGGAGGAGGAAATATTGATTTGGAGAACTGGGAAAAGTCGAGGAAGACACAGTCCTCCTCCTAGAACGGAAAAGCGCCTCCTGAAGTGAGGAGTTCAGGCTACCTGAGAGACCAGTGGTTTTGTGGGAGCTCCCCCCAGTGGTCAGGAGCTCCACCCAGAGGGCATCGTGGGTCATTGCATGAAAAGAGGTCTGCTGCCAGGCCTCTTGACCTTCTGGTTCTGGATATTGGAAGGTGGCCCAGAAGGGAGCCTCCTGATCCAAAGAGCAGCTGCCAGGAGAGCCAGCGAGCCTGGCCTAGCTGTAGACGGGCTTCTTCAGTAGACCGAGAAAGCCACCCAAGGGGATTGACTTTCTTCCTTCTGTGGGTGGAAAGGGCAGGGTCAGAAAAGTGAAAGGGCCTTCCTGGTATTGCATAGCATGACAATGGCATCCTGGAGGAGGGTTCCTTTTGCCCTAGTCAGACCTGGTATCGCTCATACCAACAGTCCCAGAGTTTGAAGGTGGGAGGAAAGGCAGGGCTGAGTTCTGGAGAAACCTCCTGGAGAAAGATTTTTTTTTTTTTTTTGACAGTCTTTCAACAAGTAAATGCTCACTTACCATGGCAAAAACATCATTTTATCACCACAGAATTTCCCACTAGAGAACAGAACCTAGGACCCTGTCATTGTTTGAAAAGCAGTAACAGGGCTGCCTCTTTTCATACAAGTTCCTACCTTGCCCCAACCCCCTGCTTCCCACTGCCTCAGCTTTCATCATCTTCCTCCCAGAGCTGGGAGTTAGCAGACACTAGCAGAGACTTGTTGGAGAAGCTGGTCTGCCGCCAGAGCCTGCTCCCTGTGGCCTCCGCCTTCTGCTTCCCTCCTCTGCCACCACCTGCCCTAAGTTTTGTAGTGTATTGTTTTGCAGACATTTTGAATTCACACCAGGTGTCCATTAAATCCCCAAGAAAAAAATCACTGACTGACTGTCCCTCTGCCAGAGTTCTGTGGATCTCCCTGAAATTTTAGATGAAGCAAGCTGAACATGGGCCAGGAGTTGGGGTATAGATGGGGTACCCTGCCATCTCACCGACTTTGTTTCCAGCCATATATCCTCAGGCTTGAAGCGTTTAATGGGGCATGCTGGGAACATCCAGCTGATTGTCTGTCTGCACTGCCTGAGTGCCATCCGTTCTTGGAGCCTCAGCACTGAATTGCTTTCCATTTTGCCTTCGACTTATCTTTCCAAAGGGTGAAGTTTTGTTTGCCAGGTGTCTTAGCCTACTAAACTGGCATAAACGTTTGAACCCAAACCAGTAAGCTTCCATTAGGTCAGAAGCCTGAGGCAGCCAAGCATATTTTCCCCTCTTCTTTGTATCCCAGGGCAGACTCATGGAGGACGGAAGAGCCCCTGCCTGTTTCTTGCTGTTACTTGTAGAAACTGGTAGAACAGTGAGCCATCACCCTACAAATAAAGGTCGCCATGTCTCCCATGTTTAGGGTAACTGACTTTCTCCTGGTCATTGCCTGCTATCCTAATTCTGCCCTCTCAGCGCTGCATGGAGACTGGGAAGTAGCTGTGAGCCTCCCACTCACTCAGTTATGGGCTCCAAGCCAGGAAACCCTACATGGGTCAGAGATCCACATTCCTTGCCTTTTCTACTGCAAAGAAATCTGCCCTCTGTGATATGGCCTCATTTTTAAATTCAGTGGAACTTTATGAGAAGCCTAAACTTAAACTTTATCATAAAAGATTTGAGAAGAAAAATGGAGAGGTGTCAGGAGTTGATGTCACAGTTCACAGACCTGACATTTTCCTTAATGTCAAGTGGATATGAACCCATTTTAATAAGTTTATTAGAGCCAAACTATTTAAATAACTTTATTTGATTCATCCTTTGGTAGATGAGAAAAATACATTACAAAATACATTATACAGAGGACAGCTCACAGTACACATTACTAAAAACACAATCTACAAGCCAGTCAGGGCTGGCATTAAGTTCAGAAGGAAGCCACACAGGCTATGAGTTGGATTTCAGGTCCATGGAATGACTTTTCCCCTTGTATCCCCTCTGTCTCAGACTCACTGTGTATTAGCACCCCTAATTTGGTGGGTGTAGGCAGAGTTAGAGCAGCATCAAGTAGGACTGGTGAACTCTCCATCCACCTAAAGCAGCAAGACATTCAAATTTCTAGACGAAAAGGGGGGGGAGGCAAGGGAGGGTAACCAAATTAAAATGCCCATCTCAAAAGCATAAAAACCATCCCAGAGCTGGGTTTTCTAAACCCTGGGACCTTGCTTAGCTGTCCCTTGCCTCTGTCACGTCAGCAGGCAGGTGGTCCCACAGCAAGCTCATTCACAGGGAGACGCAGGCTTCGGTGCCACGTAGGGAGCAGTCTCACAACAGCAGGTCCATCCAACACAGTGCACAGTGCCCATTTCTGGCTCTGCAGACTTTTCCCTTCCGTGCTTCCTGGGGCTGAGCCGAGGACCCACCACACAACACAACCACATGGAGCTAGCTGTTTCCAGGTGGCCCACAGCTTGGGAATGACTAGAACCATCAATCCGAAGTTCATGTCTTTTCTTAGCTCATCTAATGAAGCAGATGAGAGGTGAGCAGAGACCACACGGGAAAGCAGGGAACCAAGGAATTACAGCCACTCAGCAGGTTGCTGGGATTAGAGAAAACCTCATGCATCCAGGAGCCTGGGCCCCACCCCTCTCATCTTAAAAGGAGTTTATGAAGCAGCTACTCGAGTCTCATCTTTTTCTTGGAAATTTCAAAATGGAGATTAGTACAAAGTAGCAGTAACAATCAGGTTGTTTCTGGGCCTCTGCACTGTAGTTCAGCAGGCCAGACTGTTCCAAGGAATGAATAGAGGTGCCGGTTGCTCCAGAGGCCTTCAGGAGCCACCTAGGGTCAGATCAGGCAAGTGCTTCCTTCAGCTTGGTATTTCTCTTGTGCTAGCAGGAAAACGCAGCCTCTCTGCAGCTTCTCCTTGCTACCAAGCATGGTGGGCCTGGCACCCCTCCCCCCTCCCCAGCAGTCAGGGGATGTGGGAATAAAAATAAGGATGAGTCAAGACCAGCATCTTCAAATTAACAAACTGTAATTGTTTTCCCAAAGATACATTTTTTTCATACACATCCATCATACACTGTAACCAAAAAAAGCAGTGTACATGAAATAAGAGAAAATAAATTAAAAACCCATAGCATAGGTAAGGAGGCTCTAGTCTGGAGCACAGCTGAGTTTCCAGCAATATAAGGAGGCTTGAGAGTTTCTTTATAAGAATGCCTGCTAGCAAGGGTTCCAGCAAGGTGGTTGGTTTGTAGTCAGTCTTGAGTACTTGAAACAGTTCAGTATGTTGTTTGTTGTTTTTCCTTAGCGTTTAGAATAGCCATCATTGTCCTGCAATAGGCAGAGCTATCACGTCCAGGAAAAATGAGGGAGGGAACCAGAGGCAGCGTGAAATCCAAATACAGCATTCAAAGGTAATTGGTCCAGTGGTGCCTGGGGGAGGAGGAAGGGGATGTACTCCAGGGTTAGCCATCTTCTTTTGGGGGTGTGTACCAGCCTGCACAAAAAACACAAACCAGCACAGTGAAAGGGCAGGCCCAGGTCAACTTTGCCCACCCCAATCCCTGAGGACATCTCTATGATTCCAGGAAAGCAGATCTTAGGAAGGATGTACAGTCCCCACAGTGGGGACACAGGTATAGGGAAGCTGAGGATACTTACCCGGAGGTTGTTTATTGTAAGGGAGAGAGAATGGTGAGCCCACCCAGAAGTAACCGGAATTAGATGACAGGACCCAGTCTACCTTAGACACCCCCGCCCCCGCCCGGTACTTCTCGGGGGGAAAAGAGTGAGGTTAGCCACCTTCAGACTTCTAGAGAACTGGGCAGATGCTGGATCAATGGACAATAAAGCTCAGAAACCAAAGGTTCTTGTACTTGACTGGCGTGGGGCCAGGGCCTGCACGGGGCTGGCTCTTCTGGGGCCAGGTTCCAACCTCACCGTTTTTTTCGTGGATCTGCACCAAAGACTTGTAGGATTGCTGTGCTCTTGTTAGGCTGTACTGAGACTGGGGAGAGAGTCACCAGTCAGATCATGGCCAGCTGCAGCCCACTATCCCTCCTCTGCAGGCTGTCACCCAGGAAACCAAGAGTCCCAGCTTCCAGCACCAAGCCCCTCTGCCTGGGAAGGCCCTGAGGACACACCACACACAGCTTCCTTTTCCAGACCTCCGCCCATACCAACATCTGTCTCTCAAAGGCAACTTTAGCTTGCTAGTGGCCCAAGCTGTACTTGGCTCTCCATGGTCCCAGGGCCCTTACTTTGTTGGCTCCAAACTGCACCCGTGCCTTTCCCTTCACCAGCGTGGCGCTGATCTGCATGATCACGGACTCTATGGAGTAGGCACTGCTCCAGCCCTGGGGCACAGCAGGGACAAAGCAGGAAGTCAGGAAACAGCTTCCTGAGAAACCTTCAGCACCTTTCCCCACAAGAGGCTGCCTTTACAGAAGGGCCCTTTACTCCCAGCACAGTTACCACCTGTCCACCTAAGTTCCTGGGTACAGGCTCTGCCTAGTGCAATGAAAGGGCCATATTATGGCTATGACTTGTCCCCTCTCCCCAATGGTAAGAGCTCAGCCAGCCCCACCCAGGCCAATGGCCAAGAGTGAAACAGGCTCACTTACCTGCTTGGTGAGAAGTTCCATGCAGATGGCACCTCCGCCCAGAACATACCTGTAAGAAGAAGGGTTAGTCAGCTGTGCCTGGCCACAAGTCCAGTCCCTTCACCTGCTGCATCACAAATGGCCTATTCCCTTTGCCCAGTCACTCACCCTCCAGAGAGGACTGGAGACACAACCCTGACGAATGGTGGGTCAAAGGGGAAGTTATCCTGAGAAAGAGGCAGACAGCAGTCAGGAAAGAGAGGCCTGCACTCTCGTAAGACTCAAAGCAGGCAGGGAAGGCTCAGTCAGGAAGAGAGCACTGGGACCAAGTCATCTTACTTTAAAGGAGAAGTTAAGTAAGATGAAGTCTGCTCCCTCCTTCTCCTTCAGGATCTGAAGATCATTGTGCAAAGCGCTGTCCTGGTCAACTCTACAAAGCAACGAATCTGGGCTCAGACTGCTGGGTCCTGACTGAGCAGCCTCCTATGGGCCCCATTGCCCACACCTGCTCCTGGGACCCTGCAACCAACACATTGGATGGGACACAAGTGCCCCTGAGGTTCCAGTCACTCCATTTTCTCATCCCAGAGCTGCCACTCACTTGAGGAGTTTGACATTCCAGTCATACAGACTGTCATTCACGAGTTCGACTGCATAGTTTCCTGGAAGGAAAGGAAGCATCAATAAGATGGGTCTGGACCAAAAGGTGGAGCCTTCCCTTCCCAAGAAAAAGACTCAACCGGGACAATGGTGGTGCACGCCTTTACTCCCAGCATTTGGGAGGCAGAGGCAGGCAGATTTATGGAGTTTCAAGGCCAGTCTGATCTACAGAGCTAGTTCCAGGATAGCTAAGGCTACACAGAGAAACCCTGTCTCAAAAAATGAAAAAGGGGAGGAAAAAAAAGGCTCAAAGGGTCCAGGTTTGTCTCTGGATATGTGACAACCCATGCCTCAAGGAGCTCCAATCCCAGTCTGAAACTTTTATAAGCATTTGTGTGATCTAGAAATTCTCAGGGCTTCTTGTCAGCATCATACTGCATCCTTTAAAAAACAATTACATGAATTTGCTTATTTCTGTGTGTGTGTGTATGCAAGTGCCATCCGTGCAAATAGCAGTTCTCTCTGTCATGTGGGTATCAGAGACTGAACTCAGGTCCTAAAACTCGGTGCAAGTGGTTTTATCCACCAAGCCATCTTCCGGCTCATACCATGTCCTTTTTGAGGAACTCCTATGCCGCCCCTGGGCAAACTCACCACTTTTGAAACTCTGTGATCGGTATATATCCCTGAGCTCCTTCATCAGCCGGTCAGTGGCCTGCACCGAGCCAGACACTGCACCCTGGCAAGGAGAGCATACACGATTACTCCTTGATCTGGTGGGTAAACCTTAAGATAGTCTGGCATAGGGGGAGGATCCGAGAGATCCAACAAAGGAGGCAGCACTCCATACTGGTGCCGTGGCTGCTCCCCAGTCAGCACCCACCACCCTTCGCCTCGCCTCTCTACAAGGCACGTACATTTAAGTAATCTTGCCTCTGGTTCTTTTTAATTTTCTCTAGGATGGCCAGGTTTTCTTTTCCGATGCCATCATCTTCAGATTTCTTGCCCTCTGCTGGCTCTTCCTCTTTCATTTCATAGTGATCTAGGTCTTCTGTATCCTGAGGTAGGCGTGGGAGCAGAGGAACACCACAAAGATAGTGGATAGACTATCCTTTCTTTAGTCCCATTGTCCCAGAGCCCCAAGTCCCCGTGGCATTCTTGGTAATACATTTCCAGTTCTGGAAACAGCTTAGCCTCATTCCCTCCACAATCTACAGGCGAATGCAAGTTGGGTCTAGCTTTTTCAAATGGAGTCTCATATAGTCCAGACTGTCCTCAAACTCATCATATGGTGAGGCTAACCCCTGATCCTCCTGCTTCCACCTGTCACGTGTTAGGGATACAGGTGTGCACCTTTTATTATGAGACAGGCTCTTGCTATCTATCTATCTATATATATTTTATATATATATATATATATCTTTCACTGTCCTAGACAGGCTAGATTGAAAGTTGGAGGGATTGTCCTGCTTCAGCCTCCTGAGTACTGGATTAAAGGTGTGTATCAATACACCTGGCTTCCCAAGGAAATTTTCTTCTCTTTCTCCATTCTTAAACCATAGCAGCAGAGCTACAAAGAGAACTGAGAAAGGGACTGTCTTCTGTTCCCTAGGAAGATCCTGCTTCAACTGTTCCTAAAATTTCCTTGGCAGCAGATACTTCTCAATTTCTAGGTGAAGGACCTTTGGCCTCCAGTGATTAAAAAGCTTTTATTTATTAGGCTAGACTCTCAAACCCAGGAGTCCTTAGGACCTTAGGCCTAACAGAGTAGACTAAGAGCCAGCGAGTGGCTCAAAGGGTACAGGTGCTTGCTGCAAGGTCTGATAACTGTAACTGTGTCTAATCCTTGGAACCTACACAGTAGCTAGAAATGACTCCTCCAAGTTGTCCTGACTTCCAACACACACACACAACACATCTTAAAAATGTGAAGAGAAAACTAAATAATAAATAAATTTCTTCTTCTCCTCCTACAATAGCAGGATCTGAATTGGGTCCCCAGAAGTACTCATTGCCAAGATGGAAATGAGGTGGCCCAAAGTAGGAGATGGCCAAAACCAACAACATAATTAGGTCCTTATTCACCTGGCTCTGAGTGAACAAGTGGCTCACCAAGCAGAGGCCACACAGAGGCAGCTTCAGCTCCATAGTCAGGTGCTGGGGGCGTGGTACAGAGGGTTGAACTGCCAGGAAGGACTGTTTCATGGCTCATCAGCCCACTGTGGGTCTGAAGATCAGTACAAAGTTACCAGATCTGGGTCCAAGGCTAGGAAACACGATCAGAGATACAGTACTACAAAAGGATATCCTGTAAAGTCCTGTACTAAGGGCAACACACACTAGCTTACTTTATTCCTTTATAACATTGAATTATCCTATCATTACCTTTATTTTATAGGAAAGTTGAGGTCTAGTGAATTAATTCTCATGCCCATTCAAAGCAGATTTCACAGAAGTAAGGTTAAGTCCTATCTGGCTATGAAGCTCAACTTAACTTATTTATATTCTATAGAAGCACCTACAGTTAGACATGGTGGCACATGCCTGTAGTTCTAGCACTTGGGAAGTAGAGGCAAGAGGATCAGTTCAAGCCATCCTTGACTACACAAGTGAGTTTGAGGCCAGCCTAGCTTATACAAGACCCTATCTCAACATATCTCAACATAAACAAGAGTTAGAAAGATGGCTCAGCGGTTAGGAGTACTGGCTGCTCTTCTAGGAAACTGGTTCCCACCACTCACATGGTGGCTTATAACCATCTATAATTCCAGTCCCAGGGGATCTGATGCCCTCTGGACTCCACAGGCACTGCAGGTATGTAGTGCACAGACATTCATGCAGGGAAAATAGCCATGCATTTAAAAGTGAGATAAATAAAGCATCTGTATTTTTAAAGATTCTTTCAAGTATATTATACATTATTATTTATTTACCACCTGAAACAACCCTGTAATATGTATCATAATCTTATTCTGGAGATGAAAAGACTGTAGCTTAATAAGTGAAACTCTCCAAATAAGACAATCAGGGTGCAATTAGGGTCTGTCGAGACTCCTGAAGCCATCTGAGATGAGTTTGCCCAGTATTTGTTTGTTTTCAAAGAATGGATAATAGATGGCCATCTCCTTTACTCCAGGCCAGTCTTTACTCCACTGTCACATTCCTTTCCCCAGTTGGGAGCTGGAGTTGTTTACATTGAACGACCCATACTAGAGATAAACACTTCCTGTCAATGCCATTTCAAATGGTAAGCCTACCTCAGGCATCTCCTCATCTTCGTCTTCTGAAGATACTTCTTCCTGCGTGCACTACAGTGGAGATTAGGGCAAAGACCAAGATCAGAACCCAGTGGGTTGCTAGAATGCAGCCTGACCTAACCCTGGCCCTGAAGGTCTGGACGCTGGGCACTGTGCCCATAAAGATGCCAGTTTCTCTATCAGCCAGAACTGAGTGGAAGCATGAGCCCAAGGGATGGATGACTTTGCTACCAGCCAATTATTCTCTTGCTAGGACATGCCAGGAAAGAAAAGAAAAACAAAAAGAACTCATGGCTGCTCTTGTCATCTGTTCTGCAGATCCTAGCTCACCTTCTCTGAGAACCCCTCTAAGTGACAGTGCATTTCTGGTTCTAAACAAAGAACTATTGGGTTGCCAATAGTTATCAATTCCTATTGCTAAGATAATAGTAAACACGTCCTCCTCATCTCAACCTGAGGGATGCTGCCCCTGAGAATGAGTTCTGATAGGACAGAGCAATGGGTAGTGCCTTATTTAGCTAGAGTCTCATCTGGAGAAGAAAGAAGCTGGGAATCACTGGGAGCAGTGGGAGTTGCAGGAGCAACCACAGTTCCATTTCAGTTATCAAGAATTTGTCGGGCGCTCTTTGGTATGACTGAACAACAGGACCCAAAGCCCAGTCCTCAGTTGCATACCTGATCCGCTGGCAAGGGCTGATCCAGCATTTCCACATCGGGATGCTGAGGGAGGTTGTAGAGTTTACACAGGTCAGAGATGATCCTCTTCAGATGCTGCAAGAGCTGGGGTGGGGACCACAGACACATCAAATACACCTCCCTTACTGCAATCTGGATTGCTGCATGGATGAGTTTTTAGCTCAGATCCCAAAATGGTGGCTGTTTCTCTAATTGGATAGCCCTCACAGTTACAGGAATGACTTTCCCTAGTGGACCTATCCTGGGGCTGCTACAGGAACCTGCCTCCTCTGACCTCAGAAAGCAACTCTCCCAAGAAGTCTTCCCCAAGACGGTCCACCTGGGGACCCCCCCCCCCTCTCAGATCCAGCTGCCTCATAGGGTACTTTTATGGTTGAAACCTCACCGGGAACACATGCATTCTACCCCCCTGCCCCTCACCAAAGTATTCCCTTTCTTTATGTCCACCAGCCTCTCCAAGACAGCAGCCAAGTTAGGGTCATCAGACTCCACCGACCAGATGGGGGGCACAGCAGGGTATGATTCCTGCGGGAGAAAGCAGGGAGAGTGGTCACAAGGGAAAACTGGGAAAACCAGTTTTTGCTTAGCCTTCCTTCTTCCCTGAAGACTCTGGTTCCTTTCCTTCCCACCACCATGCCCTCCACTAAAACCGCCAGTTCAGCTTCCCTAGACAGAGCCTGGGAGGGCCTGAACTAAGAAGCAACCTACAAAGTTACTTTCTTCTAGAGGAGAAACCAGGGAGTGCTAACCATAGCGAAGGAGGCTCTGGCCTTCTGTCCTGACTGTTAGACTCAAGTTCTCACACCCAGGCTAGAGTCTCAGTGTTTCCACACTCCAGCATCAGGGGAAGGAAGATCACCTCCTAACAGCCACAGTGATGAGAAAAATGCAGGCTGTAGCCACCAGGGGAGGAAGAACTAAAATAAAACGGTCTTCAAAGCTAACAGTTATAGGGCATGTGTAGGAACCGCCCTCCACCCAAGACAGAACCGTCTGAGACCCGTTCTCCCTACCACTCCCTGCCCTCTCTTCAGTCCAGGCATCGGCTGGGAGAAAGAAGCCTCCACCACAGCTACTGACATTCCCAGCATTCCTGAGCCACCATGCCAAAGGAGCCTAAACAGACTCCCCCACTCTACCCAAGGTCAGGGGACCTGTGTAGGCCAAGCTTCCTTTAGAAGGGCCATGGGCACTGCAGCTGAGAACCCCCAAAGACAAAGATAGTGGCTGGCCTCTGGCAACTGAAAGGAAGCCGCTGGAGGAAGCAAACCTACCCGTAAAGTGAATCCACTTAGCAAAATCCAATCTTTGATGTCTCAACACATGCCAGGGAAGCCTTACCCACTTCTACTGGGGGTCTTAGCGGTGCCATAGCTCTAACCAGTGCTGCAGGAGAAACAGGACCGAAGATGCTAAAATCTTTACTTGACTGAGCCGCTCCTAGTGGTCATAGCTTGGTGAGGTAAGCCTCAGCTTGGCTAGATTCCCCACCAAAACTCAAGTGTCTCATGACTACTCTGCTCCCACACCTCACCACCATGGCCTGGTTTGGTGGCAGAAAGGGATAGAAAACACCATGGAAAACAAATTGAAGCGTTCAAGTACCAGAGAATTCACAAGTCTGCCTCTCCCCAGGCCACTCCCATTTCCAGTGTGGCTAAAGGTACTGCCCACTGGCTCTCTAGCTAGCTCCAGCAGGGGCAAGACCATTAACAAGTGGGTGTTATCAACCAATGTGAGCACTGTATCAAGCAGTACCAGATGTTACAAAATTACACCCAACAGTTTCCTCAAGTGATAAAATAAGGCTGGCCACATGTAAGGTGTTTCCTAATCTGGTATAGTTAGGACGATATGAAGTCCACTGAGGAGCAATGGCGCTATTACTGCTCAACACACACACTAGCACCACCAGAAAAGGCAACAACCACCTAGGACAAGTAGACATAACGCCAGAAACGGGGAGGGGAGTGGCAAAATTGCTAGCAGCTGAGGCAAAGAGGAGTTAAAGGTTAGCTAGTTACACCAGAGTGAGATGAAATCCAAAGTGGAGCCAATTCAGGGAGCAGAGAGAGGTTGAACTAGGGATGCCCGGGCAGGGAACCCACAGGTGCTAACATCTAAGTGGCAAGAACTGTTGACAAGGGGTCACTACTGAACAGGGCCTAGTTCCAGGCCAGGTCCTTCCAGCAGAGGCCTGGACTCTATTGGAGTTGGGGGTGGGGAGAAGAAATGGGCCTTCCTAAGTGACACGGTAAAGTTGTGGAGGAGTCATGGAAAGGCACCAAAGCCATAAAACCTGAGGTGTAGGTGGGTTCCTAGGAGGGGGTGGTCGAGGGCCACAAGTCGGGGTGCCCCTCGCACTCAGGGGTCAACAGTAGAGACTGATTGCACCACAGAACCTCAAGCAAAAGAAACGAGTGCAGCCTGGGGAGAAGGAGCCGAGCCCAAGAGGGGGCTCCGGCCTCGGGGTCCTCCGAGGGCAGGAGGCTGTAGGGTATGATTTCGAGCACCAGACAAGGGACCACAGCGCGGTGCAAACGAGAAGATCCTCACCGTGATGTTGCAGTGGATGCGGACGGGTTCCCCCGGTACCGATCCCCGAGAGGGGAGATGGGGTCCGGGCGCAGCCCCGGCCCCGGCCCCTCCGGCTCCGGCCAGCAGGAACTCGCAGCTCAGCTCGTCCAGGCAGGCGCTGGCAATGCGGAAGCGCTCGTGGCCGCGGTGGAAGATGGACTCGAGCAGCTTCAGCTCTCGCCTCAGGCAGGGCCCCGGCCCTGGGCCCCCTCCCGGGCCGCCCCCGGCCCCCGGCGCCGCCCCCTGGACCCCCAGCTGCTGCCCCGGCCCCGGCTGCTGCTGCCCCTGCGGCTGCGGCTGCTGCATCCTCCGCTCCGCTCCGCTCCGGGGCCGGCGGGCCGGGAGCCTCCGGCCTCCGCTCCGGGCTCCGCCGCCGCCGCGGTCCGCACTTCCTGATCCCCCCTTTGCCAAGATGGCGCCGCCGCCACCTCCGGGACAGGCCCCCTCCGCTCGCCGGCCCACCCCCCCACGGCCGCCGGAAGCCGCGCGCCCCTCCCCCTCCGCGGCGGCCCCGCCTCCGGCCTCACGTGACCTCCGAGCTCCGGCCCCCGGCACGTGATGCCCGCGTCTTTCCCGCCCCCCGGTCCGCGCCTGTCACCCTCCACATGTGACCCGCGGCCCACAGCTCGCCGGTCGAAGCGCCTCCGTGCGTGTATGTGCGTCGTGCGTGACCGCGCACGACGACCCTTTGCCGGCGCTCCCCCATCACGTGGCCGGCGTGTCTCGTCACGTGGCCGGCGTTCCCAAGGGCTCGCCCCGTCGGAGTCTGCTTCCTGCCCGCACCCCGCGGCCCCGCCCGCGCGCCGGTGTCGCGGGCGCTCGGTGGACGGCGGACGGCGGCGTCCGCCCCGCATCCTCAAGCGAGCCGTCGGGCCGACTCTGCGCCTGCGGCAGACCCGGCGTGCGGTCGGGGAGGCGAGCTCCACCGCGGTCCGGCTCTCCCTGGTTGGGCTCTCCCTGCGGTTCCTCTATGGTCGTGTGACCGTGCCTGGGTTGTCTACGCTCCTGCCGGGCCTCGGTTTCTCCATCCGTACAATGGCTCTGTAGAAAACGACGATCTCTCTGGCCTGTTCCAAGGACTCGGTGCGAGGATACCAGAGTGTCGAGTATGGCCCCTGGTCGGTTACGTCTGAGGGGAAGGATGGTGCGGCTTCCTCCACAGAGTCACAGGTTTGATCCAGCAGTCGGATAGAAGTCTCTCCAGCCGACCGGATGCTCCTGCCCTGTCGCACTGATCCGGAGCAGTTGGGAATTCATGGCAGCACCGCTACATTCCCACTAGGTGGCGCTGTCACAAAAGACAACGCCGTCTGAGGTTTCTGAACCCCAGAGCTGCAAAATGCAGGTGCCAGCCTCTTCTAGCCTGATGCATTTGAGCCAGTTCAGCCTGTGACCTTTTGGCCCTTCTGCCGCCGCCACCTTTACCTCTGTTGAAGCTGACTGTACCTTGCTTGGTTCTGGGCTGTTCATTCCCTCAGTGATGTTAGCAGAAGGCGTCCCTTGGCCGAGTTCAACTTCGGATTTTTAAAGAAATTCCATGTTGTTATTTTATTTTTGAAGGGGGAGGGCTGGTTTTCTTGTGATGTGAGCATCACGATCATTTAGCTACATACCGTCTTCGTGTACGTGCTCACAAGCGGGAAGCATAAAATGATGGGGTAGGCCAAACCTAGCAGTGGTTCCCCAACAGTCTAGGAGGGTCGAAAGTCCAAGGCCTACATGGGTAACTTAATGAGCTTCTGTCTGGGCCACGAAAGTAATGAATAAGAAAAGGCTGGGGATATGGTAGGCTGCTTGCCTAGTAATGTGGAAGCCCTGGATTTGATACCCTTATCACGACACAAAAACGAGTAATGGTAAGTCTAGTCTACCAAGGACTCCCTGAGCCAGGGATATTTCGCAAATATTTCTAATCCTTCCAACAACATTGCAAGGTAAGTGTTTTAATTCTTATTTTACAGATGGAGGTTAGGATCTCTAGCTACTGAGCTGGACTTTTAGGTCTGTGCCCATGTCCTCTACCCTATTCGGTCTTCTTACTTGCTTGTTTTATTTATTTTTTGTTATTTGTCAGGGTTTTGCTATGTAGCCCAGGCTGGCTGGAATCTTCATCCTCCTGCCTCAGCTTCCCAGTGATGAGCTAGCTGATAGTCAGGCATACACCACCTTGCTCAGCCCCCACATGCTTTAGAACTTTTTACAGGTCACATGACTACAGCCCTGATCCAGGAAACTGGAACTTGAGACAAGGAAGTGGACCGTCTCTCAGCCTTCAAGTACTGGGATTACACAGGCACACACCAGGCCTGACTAGAGCCTTCTCTAAAAACTTTGTGTGTATGCATATTTTGCATGCACATATGCACATGTACCACATATGTTCCTGGTGCCCACACAGCCAGAAGAGGGCATTGGATTCCCTGGAACTGAAGTTACAGATGATTGTGAGCTGCTGTATGGGTGCTTGGAACTGAAACCCAGTTCTCTGTAAGAACAAGGAAGTGTTCTTATTTACTGAGCCATTGTCCTACCCCATATGAAAGTTTTAAATGTATACATTTATTTATTGTCCTGAAGATTGAACCCAGAGTCACACCTATGTTAGACTTTGCCATTGAACTATATCTCATAAGGGCTTAATTTGGAAGAAAACACAATGAGAGAACCCCACAATATTACAAACTGGTAAGCCACACCCCACCTCCCGAGGAGCCCACAAGTCGTGGTCTCTGGAGCATGGCGTCTTCTATTGCTGCTTTGTTCAGTATCGCAGGTCTCTGATAAACCTCATATGACGTCATACCTAAAATAATTGGGCATAGTGTGGCCTCCAGCAGAACTGGCAATGAGTGCATAGGTTTGTTTAGTGAATTCTGGGGCAGGAAAACAGTGGGTAAAAGGTCCCTGCCTTCATGGAACTCATGGAAAAGATGATAAAGCCATAATCTACAAGTATGGGAAGTGGACAAATGCTTCCTGAGCACCAACTGTGTGAGGCACTGAAGAAGCAGCCCCGAGTGAAGCAGACCCAGTCCTTACATTCTCAGGTTTATGTTTGGCCTGGCAGATCAGATGCCACACAAGCCTAGTGCAGTTTAATCCTGCTTACCCACAAAGGTAGAAGAGTAAAGACTGCACAAAACTGTCCTGTGATCTTCACCCACTATGCCATGGCCTCTGCCTCACCCCCATAAATAAATAAAAACTTAGAGAACCAGACATTTACTGCATGGACAGACGTTAAAGCGCTGAATTGCAGTTGTAGTGAGTACCTCGTAGGAGAAGACTGGAGGTCTGGGAAGGTGTTCTCAAGAGTGCCTAGAGTGGACGGAGCAAGAGTCGACAAGTCCCAAGCAGGAGAGATGGCATTATGGGAATTGTAATTAGATAAATTTATTAAGACTGCTAGCAGGGTGACAGCCTTAAAAGCCAAATTGAAGGCATGCTACGCAGAATGGGCTAAGGGAAGGATTTTTAAAGGTGACAACCACAACAACCTTGTTTCTTTGGAATGCTCAGCTGTGTAAACCACTTCACTCCCCTCAGCTGTGTGAGGAGCTCTCTTCTCCCCATTCACAGCCATAACCGAGGTACCTCACTCCCTATACACAGTGATAAGCGGGTTTACAGAAGCCAGAGCAAGCTGTTAATCAGTTCCAAGGGTGCAGGTTCCAAGGAGCTCATCTTTCAGAAATTTAGGGCAGAGGCTAATGGCTATGAAGGAGATACCTGGTACAGAATGGAATTTCCGTAGCCATCACATCTTGAAGGATGTGGCAAGTTGAAGAAACAGAAGAATAGTAAGTCTTGAATAGAGGAGAATGATGGAGGTCAGGCAGACAAAGGCTGAATCTTGCAGCTGTTTAAGGATTTGAGCTTCTTTTGTAAGCTCTGGGAGGCTCAAAAGGTCAACAGAGCATTAAGAAGCTATGGAAGCAAATGTCAGTACCAGCACTAACAGCTGAGCTTTGCGGGAAACTAAGATTTAGTTCTGAAGGGGAAGGAGTTTGGGAAGGAAGACCTAAAATTTCCTAGACAAAAGGGATCAAGCACTCGGGATGCTGAGACAGGAGATCATGAATTTGATGTCATCCAGGGCTACACAGACACTGTCTTTAAAAAAAAAAAAAGGAATTGGAGTGATATCTCAGTAGTAGAGGACTTGCTAAGCTTGTCCAACCCCTAGGGCATACCACTGATAAATAATAGAATCAAAGAATACTTACCCTTATGGAGAGAGGCTTGTGAAACAGTGAATGAAGAAGGGTAACTACAAACGTATAACAAGCATAATTTGCTCCTCTTTGCAAAATAACCAAAATGTATGCCTTATGTTTATATCTTTATACCCAAAATATGACATGAATGTCCACAGCAGTGTTATTTTAATGGTCCTAAGTAGAAAACAAATGTCCATCAGCTGGGTGGTGGTGGAGCACGCCTTTAATCCCAGAACTCGGGAGGCAGAGGTGGACAGATCTCTGTGAGTTTGAGGCCAACCTGGTCTACAAGAGCTAGTTCCAGGACAGGCTCCAAAGCTACAGAGAAACCCTGTCTCAAAAAACAAAAAAAAAAAAAAAAAAAAAAAAAGTCTATCAGGGGTGGAATGGATAAATATAGTGTAGTCACACTCTGCAGTTATGAAGGGTGAACATCAACAATGACCACCATAGTTCTCCCTAACATAAGATCAATAAAACAGATACAGATTATTATTCCATTTATATGAAGTCTAACAGGCAAAGTTGACTTCTGCTATTAGAAGTCATAATGGTAGCTCTTTTTTTTTCTTTTAGTCATCTAAGAAAATTGCTGGTGGGTGTGGTGGTACATGCCTGGAATCCCAACACTTGATAGGTAGAGTCAGCAGGATTAGGAATCCAAGGCCAGCTTCAGCTCTGTTGTGAATTTGAGATCAGCCTGGGCTTCATGAAACTCTCAAAAATAAATTATGATAAAATACATATACCATAAAATTTTCCATTTGCATTCATACTATTGTGTAATCATTCCCAATAACTGGTTCCAGAATTTTGTTTTTTAATATTTAGTTTCATTTTATGTGTATGAGTGCTTGCCTGCATGTAGCCCCACAGGTGTCTGTGTATACCAATGTGTGTGATGTCTTTGGAGGCCAGCATCCCCTGAAACCGGTATTACAAGTGGTTGTGAGCTGTCATGTGTACTAGAGCTCAGACTGGAGACCTGGAAGAGCAACCCGTGCTCTTAACTACTTTTACATTGCTCCAGCTCCACTCCAGAACTTGAAGTACTGTTGACTGGGGTCTCTGTCCTCAGGGAGGAGAGAATGACTGGGAGAAACACCTGGCTATTTATTAATAATTGTTCCTTTAAACAAAATTTCTCTCAAGGCCGGGGGCGGTGGTGGCGCACGCCTTTAATCCCAGCACTTGGGAGGCAGAGGCAGGCGGATCTCTGTGAGTTCGAGACCAGCCTGGTCTACAAGAGCTAGTGCCAGGACAGGCTCCAAAACCACAGAGAAACCCTGTCTCAAAAACCAAAAAAAAAAATTTTTCTCTCAAGATGATGTATCCAGATACATTGACTATACTTCTCTGTGTGAATGTTATACCTAAATAATTGTAGATAGTTTTGCTGAGTAGATGTCTCTCTCCTTAGTAGTAGGACTCTGAGTCTGCTTTGCTAATTGTATTGTTTTAGTTCTTTATGAACACAAGTATTACTCTGGCAACAAATTTTTAAAATGTAAATCACTTTAAATAAAGGAAATACAATGTTTTCAAAAGAAAATATTCCTTGTAATCCGAGGCACTAGAACTCTGCTTACTCATGTTTGTGTCATGGTTGACATTTCTGTGTTGTAGAAGGATGTGGGTACTGATGAGGAGGGAGGGCGGCCCACTCTCCTCTGTCACTGGTGATTATCTCCGTAGAGTCATCCTTGCCAAACTAGAAGTAAACTTGAAGCCAACACTAAAGTTTGAGAAGATAATGTAAAGACCAAGGTATACACTACCTGAACTGGCAAGATCTAGAAGTCTGTCATCTGGAAGGAAATGAATGGTGCCCCTAGTCTGTGATGAAAAGAGTGAGTGGCCTTTAGTATGTCATCAGAAAAGAGTAAGCACTCCAGGAAGTTTAGCAATAGGAGGCATTGCCAGCCTTCTTCACGCTTCACCGACTGGAGATGCTGTCTCCGGAGTGTGGAATAACTAAGCTACCCAGTCCCTGTTAGGCTCCCACACTCCTCTCTGTCCTTTCCAGAGCAGTCGTCACAATGGCTGCTAATCTGCTGCCACTGTGGTCTCTTTAATAACTGGAACGAAGTCTTTTTGATTACTGCCTCCACAGCTCCAAATAATTCCGGGCTCACAGGACATACTCAATCCAAGTTGATCTAAATTGTTGGAGACATATCCTGCCCTTGAGTCTTTCCCCAAGTGCTGTGACTCCACACTCTGCTCCTCTCTAGGCTTCACTTGGTGTTCAGATCTCTTCTGAAGAAAGTATTCCCCATGCACCTGTGACGTAGATCTAAACCCACCTCCACACGCACTGTGGATGTTCTCCCTCCCCATCACCTTGCTGCTTCTACTGCACTTTCCTGACTTTGCCCTTCAAAGTCTTCCCCATACCCCTTTTCCCATGCTGGGGATTGAATTCAAGGCTATGCACACACTAGGTGAGCACTCCTTCACCAAGCTGCATCACTAACTCCTGGACTCCCCAAATCCGAGCACTTGTTAAGTTGCTTCTGCCTGAATTTATAGCAGGGACAATAAAACATGTCTGTCATGCATTATTTTCCGGCTAAGCCCTCATCTTAAGCCAGGCCCTATGCTAGTTCCTACTCTAGTTGGAAAGGCAGTGCTGCTGTAGGATTCCATTATGGTAAAGCCTAACAAGGTACCTAACTCAATCCTAGTCACAGTTTCCCTGAGGAACTGAAATTCCTGCGAACACTCAAGTTTAAGTAGAAGGAGTTGGGCAGCGGGTGAGAAAAGAGCTGAAGAGAACTCTATGTTTAAAAGGCCAAGGGCTGGGAGGGGTAAAATAGCCAAGGATCTTGAAGACATTGCCACGAGCTGAGTGTGGAGCTGAGGACGGTGTGCCCAGGTGAGGTTGGGGAGCAGGCGCTGATGGAATAAAAGAAGCCTTGGCTGCCTGCTAAGTTTGCTTCAGAAGGAGTCTTTTTGGTTGAAAGTGACCACTGATCTGCTAAGAAAAAAGGGGTCCTATATGGGCTCAGTAGCTAAAAGTTCAGGGCTTTCAAGATCAAAGATGTCATTGAGTTTTGACATCGCTCTCATCTTTGCTCTCCTTTGTGCTTGCTCCATTCTTTTCTCTGTGAAATGGTCCCCTGATCTCCCCAAACACAGAAGACGACTGCAGTGGAAGGGACCATTGATATTGGCCGCTTGTCCATACGTCAGAACCTTCAAGGCTACCTTCTTTTCAGGAGGTCTAGACCTTTCTAGCTTAGATCCCCCCCCCCCCCCCCCGAAGGTTGGCAAGATCTTGGCCTTATAGTAACTTATGGAAGCAGAGAAAGGGACAGGTGAAGGGACTCTATTCCAAAACTCCAAAGCAATTTGCTTTTTTAAACTAGCCAGCCTCCTGTTCCCTGCTTCTTTGTCCCAGGTCCTAACATGCATATTCTCTGTCTCATCCTTTGCTTTCCTGAAGAGCAGAACATAAAGAGGGTAAGAACATAAAGGACAGTAACCTTAGAAACAGCCCCAACCCACCCCGCGTCCTACGAGAGCCTGACCTACCACCCACTCTCGCTCCCTCCCAGTCCTACTCAAACCTTGCCAAGTCCTGCCCCAAGTTCGGGGCTTTTGAACTTGTCCACTGAGCAGAGAGAGGGTCGCCTTCTCACACGCACCCCTCCTAGGCAGGCCCAGCTAAAGAGCATCCCACTCAGGGACCACCTTTTTTTCCCTGGGATCCCGCGCTTCCGCCTCTGGGGCGGAGACTCCTCCCCTCGCAGTCCCAGTTGTGTTCCCTGGAAGAGCCGCCGCCGGGTCCGGCACCGGGGAGAAGCCGGGTCCTCCTTGCGTTCTAGGAACCGTTCAGTCCTGGAGGCCGAGAGCCCCACCCGGAATTTGGCGGCTGCGCGGCTTCAGCACCGCGGACAGCGCTCCGTCTGCAGCCCCTTGAGTCTGCGGCGGCGAAGCCGCGCTATGCTGGCGGCATGGCCCGGCGCTCCAGCTTTATGGCGCTGCTGCTCAGCTTCGGCCTTCTCTGGCTGTGTTCAGGTAAGAACTGGCGGCCAGGCTCCTCGGCCTCGGCTAGTGGCTCAGGACGCCGAGTTCTGCCACCTTTGCCAGGACAAAGGCAAAAAGAGGAATTCCAGTCTAGAGATGGAGGAGCCTGCTGGGGGATGGGGAGTGACTCCAGGGTCTGCAGGGAGCATCTGGAAGACTGATCTGGGAGGAAGACTCGGGCACAGGCGCAGACGAGAGGCCAGGGAGAGGTGGGAACCTGGCCACTGCAGAGAAGAAACAAGCACAAAGAGGAAGGAAGGAAGGAGAGCATTCTGAGATGACAAGAGACTTGACACTCTTTTACTTTTTTATGACCCGGGTTAATGCCTTCCTCCTGGCTCCCCATCATTTCCCACTCCCCTCATTGGGGTCCCGATTTGGGTCACCCTACAGGGCACGAAGGGGAGAACTGTGACTTCCCACCTGGGACAGGAGACTTGGAAGAGTAGAAAATGCCAGACTAAGGACAAGGGAGGCGCTCTGTGGGTGATCAGAAGGTCACAGAAAGGGAGGCATGAGGAGAGGGCAATGCACAATAGAACAAACTCTCCACACCTGCATGACAACACGGGATGGGTACCCGTGCCCACAGTTCAGGCATCCCTACTATTCTGCCCCAACCCAGGGAGGCAGAAATCTCAAACCTCAGAGGCTTGTCCCTCTGAAACATTTTGGGGAAAACAAGTCCCCATTAATCCTTGCAGTCTAGAGGTGAATGGTCTCGGAGAAGGACTTATCTATGCAAGTCAGCCTGGGGCTTCTATGGTCCTGTGGCTTATTTGAACATTTTGCAGTATCCTTAAGCACAGGGCTGTGAAGAGGCTATAACTTCTAGGCTGAGGAAGTTGATCAGTCACCCCACTCCCTGGGTAAGAGGACCTTTGTGAACCCTTCTGCTAACTCGCTTCCTGCCCTGCCTTACCCAGAGGTTTTGGCTACCGACACAGAAGAGCGGCTAGTGGAGCACCTCCTGGATCCCTCCCGCTACAACAAGCTGATCCGTCCAGCCACGAACGGCTCGGAGCTGGTCACTGTTCAGCTCATGGTGTCCCTGGCCCAGCTTATCAGTGTGGTGAGTGTGGCTCTCCAACTCTCTGTCCAGCTACAGGTCAGCTCAGCCAGAAAGGGTTTGCTCCTGCATTTGCTCCTGGCGCTTCTAAGGTGGTGGTGGCTGCGGGACCCTAAGAGGGCGGTGGAAGGGCTGAGGTCTGGGGACCTTTTCAGCAGCTACCTTGTTTCCCTGCAGCATGAACGGGAGCAGATCATGACCACCAATGTCTGGCTGACCCAGGTCAGTGGTCTTTCCTACCCACATCCTCTCCCCCTTTCTCTCTTTCCATCTCCGGCAGCGAGGAGTCCTGAATAGTTGGGTTTGAATCCTTTGTCTGGGCTACTCACCAGCACTGTAATTGATTCAGAATCTGCTCTCACTGTGTAGCTCTGACTGACCTAGAACTCAGTATGTGGATCAGGGTGGTCTTGAACTCACAGAGATGTCTGCCTGTCTCTGCCTTGCTGGTGCTGGGATTACAGGTTTTCACAATCATCCCTGTTCAACTCTGATTTTAAACACATGAAACACGCCCAAGACTCATTTTCACATCTGTGAAATGTAAAGTCTAGTACCCTGGCTCAGCTGGCAAACCACATGAAGAAGCATCATCACATGACCTATGTCTGGGCAGAGAAGTCGCTGTGGAGAGAAGACTGACTTGAAGTTTTCCACAAGCCTTATGAGTTCTCTTTTGTGCCTTTCTTTGGCTCTGGGTGCCCTTTCGGGCTAGAGGCTGGTAGTACCTTGCTCTCTCTCTTTTCCAGGAGTGGGAAGATTATCGCCTCACCTGGAAACCTGAGGACTTCGACAATATGAAGAAAGTCCGGCTCCCTTCCAAACACATCTGGCTCCCAGATGTGGTCCTATACAACAAGTAGGTGACCCTGGAGTGATAGGAAGGTTAGGAAAGACCAGAGGTGTGCTTGGGAGGGACTGAGCTCATGGGGGAGGGGCTCCAAAGGAAGGCACTGTTGTGATCAGCCTCTCCCAGCTCCTTAGGTTGCCGGAATTTGGAGGGGGGGGGGGATAGGGAAAGTAAAGATTGACAGTTCTCAGTGCCTAACTTGATTCAAGAGTGGGCACTTCTGGAAGCCTGTGTGGTGGTGACAAAGAATGTAGGGTCCTCATTTCACCTAGATTCTGTTCTGTTCCCTTCAATGAGTCTTCTTACCTTGACGGCACACAACTCCCTTAACTGACAGGACTGAGCCCATACCTCTTCATTGCTGGGGTTTCTTGCTCAGACTCTCTGGCTTCCCCACCTCTTTACCCTCATATTCAGCTTACACATTCGGGACAAGTAGCAGATGCATCCCACCCCCATCATCCTCTTCTACCGCTGAGGCTGTGCATGCCTCCTGAACAGAATACCTGTTCTTACCACCAGCCTGTGCAGCTCCCATCTCCAGCCCCATTCCTGCATCCTATCTGTATTAGAGGGTCACCGCTAGCCTAGGTCCTCCTTGCTGGGTTGATGAGTGGGATGGAGACCCTCAAGCCAGGGCTGACTGCCCCATTCCTTGGCAGTGCTGATGGCATGTACGAGGTGTCCTTCTACTCCAATGCGGTGGTCTCCTATGATGGCAGCATCTTTTGGCTACCGCCTGCCATCTACAAAAGTGCGTGCAAGATTGAGGTGAAGCACTTCCCGTTTGACCAGCAGAATTGCACGATGAAGTTCCGCTCATGGACCTACGACCGCACAGAGATCGACCTGGTCCTCAAAAGTGACGTGGCCAGCCTGGATGACTTCACACCCAGTGGGGAGTGGGACATCATTGCGCTGCCAGGCCGGCGCAACGAGAACCCAGACGACTCCACCTATGTGGACATCACCTATGACTTCATCATTCGTCGCAAGCCGCTCTTCTACACAATCAACCTCATCATCCCCTGCGTGCTCATCACCTCGCTGGCCATCCTGGTCTTCTACTTGCCCTCGGACTGTGGTGAGAAGATGACGCTCTGCATCTCCGTGCTGCTGGCGCTCACGGTATTCCTGCTGCTCATCTCCAAGATTGTGCCTCCCACCTCCCTCGATGTTCCGCTGGTGGGAAAGTACCTCATGTTCACCATGGTGCTTGTCACTTTCTCCATCGTCACTAGTGTGTGTGTGCTCAATGTACACCACCGCTCGCCCACCACGCACACCATGGCTCCCTGGGTCAAGGTGATCTTCCTGGAGAAGTTGCCCACCCTGCTCTTCCTGCAGCAGCCACGCCACCGCTGTGCCCGTCAGCGCCTGCGCCTGAGGAGGCGCCAGCGGGAACGCGAAGGTGCAGGCGCGGTCTTCTTCCCTGAGGGCCCTGCCGCTGACCCATGCACCTGCTTTGTCAACCCCACGTCAGTGAAAGGCTTGGCTGGGGCTTTTGGGGCCGAGCCCATGCCTGCAGCTGGCCCGGGGCACTCGGCAGGGCCTTGCAGCTGCGGCCTCCGAGAGGCAGTGGACGGTGTACGCTTCATTGCAGACCACATGCGAAGTGAGGATGAAGACCAGAGCGTGAGTATGAAGTGTAAGATAGGTGTGCTAGGAGCAAGGGCTCCTATGTGTGGGAAGTAGGTGTTGCTTAGGCTCCCAAAGCCAAGGTACAGGGGAGAGGCAACATGAGCAAGGCGGACTCTGCAGGATAGGCTAGCAGACTCACTTGCCTGCACTGGAGTCTGCACCACACAGATGATGACCTTGTGGTTCCCCGAGGAATAGTACTCAGGGTGAGATGCATCAGCTGGGACGTCATCAGTGTGGTGAGGGAGGTAGCCAGGAATCTTAGGGCAGGGGGAAGTTCTTTTGGGCTTGAGGGTGTCACTGAGTTTTTCCCTATAGGCACATGAGCACATCAAGTTGTTAGTGTGTTACTCTTTGTGCAAATGGAGATGCGTCCTTGTGGGCCGCAGAGTAGGCAGATGAAGACAGTGATGATGACAGACAGGGAAAGGGTAGTTGAGAGGGTCCATGGGGTTGATTCCGGTGGACAGAGCAGAATTTAAAATCAATATCCATTTCTACTGTCCTGGGCCTTGAAAAGAGGCTAATGAAGTACTTATAGAGATGGGGTGGATAGAGGCCCGGGCTCCTTAGACCCATTTTGCACATTCAGTTTCTGGCTCCCCCTCCCCGCAATCTTCCTAGAAGGGGATTCCTTGAGACTAATCCAGGAGTTGGAGGAAGATGCAATGGGTTGACTTCCTACCCTCCATTTTGGGTACCATCTGGCCTTCTCTGAGATCAGTGTTTAGGTACCTGACTAGTTTTAAACCAAGGCTCAGTTGTTGCTATAGTGACCATCAAGGTTTCCTCTAGGATTCTGCCATTCCTGGTGAAGGAGAAAGGACAGGCACTGTGGTTTTTGTTGGGAGCCGAGTTCAGACATCTTTTCCTCTGCACTGCAGGAAAGCGTGAGACAGGGAGCATTTCATAGCTCAGAGGAAGGCAGAGGGGCTGAGACCACGATGAGGCCCTGAGGCCAATAGGGAGACACTAGGGTGCAGGCTCAGCTGCTGCTGGATCTCCGGCTCCACCGCTGCCGCAGTCCATCATGTATGTAGCCTCCATTCCAAGCCAGGTGCTGAGCGGGCAGTGACCTACTTGGATGCCTCAGAGGGATCTAAAACTCAGCACATCCAAAACCAAGTGCTTGGTCTATACCCCAGCCGCCCCTAGTTTCTCTCTCTCTCTCTCTCTCTCTCTCTCTCTCTCTCTCTCTCTCTCTCTCTCGTTTGTTTGTTTTTCGAGACAGGGTTTCTCTGTAGCTTTTAGAGCCTGTCCTGGAACTAGCTCTGTAGACCAGGCTGGCCTCGAACTCACAGAGATCCTCCTGCCTCTGGAATTAAAGGCGTGCGCCACCACCGCCCACCTCCAGAATGATTCCCCACGTTAGTGCTCTGTCACCCTAACGCGAACACCCTGGTCAGCTTCAGCTCTGTGTGGACCGGAATTGCCTCCCTGATTCAGCTTCCGGTGCTGCAGTTAAATAACCCCTTTGCCTGGCCCTCTGGCTGACCTATCACTCAGTTGTCTCAAGCAAGCCAAGCTCTTTCCTGCCCTCGAGCCTTTGCTTCTGCGTTCCTCCACCCTGAACAACCTTTGTATTAGTTACTGTTTCTCACGGCTGTGATGGAATTTCCGACGAAAGCGGCTTCATGAAGCAAGGATTGTTTGGGCTTATAGTTTGAGGTTATAGCCCGAGGTCCTACTGAGCCTACAGTCGAGAAGCAGGGGAAGGTGAACACTGATCCGCAACTAACCTTTTCCTTTTTTCTTTTTTCTGTCCGGGACCCTAACCCATGGAATAGTGCTCTCTGCCTCAATTAACCCAATCTAGAAAACTTTCCATAGACTTGCCCAGGTTTGTTTCCATGGTGATTCAAAATCTCATCAAGCTGACAATATTAAACCACTTTTTTTCTAAAGACAAAAACCTATTAGTGTCATTAATTTTTGCTTTGTTATTTAAGTGTAAACCTGTATATGACCTATTACCCCAAACACTCCAGTGTGTCTCTCCTTAAGAACAGGGATACTCTCTTGCATGACTCAGCTTCAGGGCTGGGGATGTGGCTCAGTGGTAGAGGTCACAGTTCGCATGTGAGTTCCAACTGCAGCCAACAACCGACCAAAATAACAGTGAAACTAACAGTGAAAATAACAGGCTCAAAGATCAACTTCTGGAAAGAGCATCAATACTTTCACTACTGTGAAGTCCACATTCAGGCTTTTCCAGTTGCCCTAGCAGTGGCCTTCTTAGGACCATCACCCCCAGACCTAGGACCCTGAGTTGCGTTTAGTTGCCAAGCCCCATTAGTGTCCTCCCCCAGATTTGCCTTTCACGGGACCAACAATGTGAGCAGGGCTCTGCTGGCTTTGCCTGCCCACATCTCCAGTGTGACCTTGGATCAAGGCTTCCTTCACTTGCTCTAAGTGTGGCTCCTGGAAGAGGTGTTTCCAGGTCACACCCTGCTCCCTTCTTCCTTCTGTCTCTCCATCCTAGTCTTCCATTCCCTCTCAGTGAATAATCTTTGGTTTATTGTCTCCGTCTCCCTGAGAGACTGAAAACCACAGGGTTGTGTCCCAGTGCCTCTCAGGATGCTATTGTGCCAGCTACATGGAGGTGCACAGCTGTCTTCCTCCCATCCTGTGAGCTACTGGGCCCCAGAGGAACATGTCTGGAGGAGAAACTGGCTTTTCTGTGACCGTGTAGTTGGTTCCCAACCCCCATAGGCTATTATTAGCTTTCTGACTGATTTTTTTTTCCTACCTGGGCTCCATTCTCACCTTCTGAACATCAGTACAGGATGGGGTGCCCCAACTATTATGAAAATAGAGCTTCAGGGCCCGTAGTTCCCAGTTACTGACTTCTGTCCTAGATGCTATCAGGGTCCCTTTAATGTAGGAGTTTGCAGTTTGGTGGAGGGCTAGCCATACAGATGCAGTATGGCATAGTCTAAACATTATGTTGGCAATATATAAACCAGTGCCAAGGGAACAAAAGGATCAGGGAAGCCTTCATAAAGATTATATTTGATTAGGGCTTTGAAATATGTGTAGGTGTTTGGCAGGGTTTTGTTGTTGTTCTTGGTTTGTTTAAGGAAGTGAGAGAACCAGGAAGACATGTTGGAGTTCTCACTAACCCTGAGTTTTGGAGTGTGGGAGGCAAAGGAAAATAGGCTCCTATGCATGATGGGTGGGTTTGGATGGGCCCTGGGGGCTGTGGAGGCACTAGAAGCTTTAGAGCAGGCAAGATCGGAGCTTGCTGAGGAAGAGGGGTGGGGTGTTTACATGTGTGGAAGGGACTTTTCTACCCCATCCCACACATCATGAGACTAGTATCTGAGCCACTTATATCTCCTCCATACAGGTGAGGGAGGACTGGAAATATGTTGCCATGGTGATCGACCGCCTGTTCCTCTGGATCTTTGTCTTTGTCTGTGTCTTTGGCACCATCGGCATGTTCCTGCAGCCTCTCTTCCAGAACTATACTGCCACTACCTTCCTCCACCCTGACCACTCAGCTCCCAGCTCCAAGTGAGGCCTCACTCGTCTGCAGCTCCTCCCTGTGACCCCTGGGGTTCAATAGTACTGGGTGGAAGATGGCTCCATCCCCACTCCTCTGAAGACCTGTTTCACACACCCACTCACGTAGCCCTGCAGCCTGGAGGCTGTGCCAGCTGCTCTCCTTCCCCTCCTGAGCTAATCCAGGCAGTAGTGATAATGGTGGGAGCCAAGGCTGGTAAGTAGAAGTCAGAGGAGGAGGGGCCAAGAAAGGGACAGAGTTATCTATGGCCTCCAAGTCATGGGAGAAGAGGAGGTGAGAAGAGGGGCTCAGATCCTCCAGCCAGGCTGACAGTGGAGACCGCTGAGATAGATGTGGGGGAGTGCGGCCAATAGTTGACACCCGGCAACTTATGTGGACAGCAGCTGGTCTGGAAGGATCGCAGTTTTAGGGGGTCCTTCTGAGAGCTTCCCGGGGAGCTTCAGCTTAGGCTCTCCAGAGCCCAGCTCCAAGGCCACAGACTGTTGGACAGACACAAGAACACTGTGAAGTGAACGGCCCCTTGGAGCACTTCCCAGCCATCAGGGGCGCTCCTGGGCATCTCTGCTTGGTGGCAGAAGGGACCTCCTCTTACTAGAACAAGAAATTGCCTATAGAAGGACTCCCTCTCCAAACTTCCAGCCCCAGAGAAAGCACCCTGGCATCAGAAGCAGCATCTGGAAAGATGGTGCACCTCTGGAGGGCAGAACCACTGCAGGCTCCAGGCTCAGAGACCCCACCAGCTGTTGCTGCGCCCACCTTGACTAAATTAACTGGCTGTCAACTACCTCCTGTAACTGGCTGTTGTGCAAATTAGTCACCAGCCAGGGCTGGCAAGGTCAGTGAGCAGTTTGTCCGACGCTTCTCCGTGTACTGTTGAACATATCAGGCAAACAGTGCCCATCTTAGAACTTGCTTTCAGCATCTGTACAGTGGGAACCGAGGTTGGCAGGGCTGTGATGGGTGGGAAGGACCCGTGCTGGTGAAGGATCCTGAGGAAATGCTGTCCCTCCCACTGGGTGTAATCTTTTGAAGAAGAGACTGCAACAAGGGAGGGGAGGTAAGAGGCCATCATGTGTCAGAGCAGTGTGAGCCCTAAAAGATACTAGGAGGCTTTGGGGGAAACTCAGTCCCTGCCACTTTGTGGCTTTCTGTCTCTACCCTGGGAGACTCCTTGCCTCCTCCATGAAGCCTTCTCTGAAGAGAATCAGGTAACTGGTTTGTTGAGCCTGCATGGGTATCTGGGACAGGGTGGCCTGGGAGTGGCAGTGAAGAAGGGAGTTGGGGATTCCCATCAGTGACCAAGCTCCAGCAAGCTGGCGACCGCCTTGGCCTGGAAACATGGCCCACAGACTCCCTGCCACTGTGGAGACCTGCCAGTCTGGAGCAGCTGGTGCCAAGGGTGAGGAAAGCCAAAACAAACAGAACACAGGACCCTCCAGATTTTCTTTTGTTGTTGTTGTTTTGGGGTTGGAGATTAAATGGAAAAGGACTTCCTTGTAAGGAACAAGAACAGTGAGGGACTGGGCACTGTTCCTATCCTCTGGGACTCTGCCTTTGACAGTCCTGAGCAGCAGCAGAACATGTCTTCAGAGAGCCTGGTACCTGCTCCCTGCCAGTCACCTTGGCCTCCTGGGGAGGAAAGCCAAGGCCTTTAGAGCTGCCTGAACTCTCCCCCAAGCAGAGTGACACGGTCCCTGTCTATTGTCACCCTCTGCTTCCAGGCAGAAATGGCTGTTGAGCCCCTCTTACGTTGGCCAGCTTCCCACTCACCAAACCTAACTGGACAGAACAACGGTCACTTTGTAGTAATTATCCCATCATGTCTAAGAAGTCGGTCAGTGTGCTGGTCACGTGCTTCCCAAAGGACTAAAACTTTGGGAACTGGTAGGTTCCTCACCCACCCATCTCTATACCATCTTGGCACACCCGTCTCCACTCTCAGAGTATGTGCAGTGGTCCACATCACTTTCCCTAAACCTATGTCCCCACTCCTGCTGCCCACCCCTGTAGCTGGACTCATTCCTCTTAAAATTGTTTCTAAATATTGCCTTGTTACTTTGTTCTGTTTGGGGAGAAGGGCGCTAACCCTTACAGACAAGACAGACACAAGAGAAGGGGAGAACACTAGAGAACCCCCACTCGCAGCTCTGGCTTTTCACCTCTGCCCAAATCCTGGGATCAGAGTGAAACTGTGGCTGGGCCTCTCTGCCTTCAGCTTAGCCTTCAGAAAACTGTTTCCTACCTTCAAGGCTGGGAGCCAGGGATCCTGTGTATGCCAAGCAGTACTGCACCCTGAGCTACATCCTCAGAGACTGGAATACTCCATTTCCCTGGAGGCGGGCCCAGTGGCTGAGGACAGAGACATTTGAGACTCTAGGACAGCAGGAGCTGTCACCCTGAACTGCCTTTAAAACTGCTCAATTCCTGAGTCCTGCATCGAAACAGGTGATAAACAATACCACATAAAGTCCTGATCTAAAGTGTTATGACCTCGGTTGGCCCATCGTCTTTCACTCAGCTTCCTTGGGTATGGTATCACTGTTGAAGGGCCAAAGATGGGTCATGCAGGAATTCTGGAGAGAGTGTCTGTGTAGAAAGAGAGGAGTTTCCTTGACATTTAAGAGGGAGACTTCGGATGCCATCCACAAAGTGAGAAGATGCACTCAAAGCCACCCCTGTTCCCAGCTCTAACTCCCTTCCAAATGGCACATACAGGCACAGGAAAGGCTGAGCACTTGTAGGGGGAAGGAGGTGAGCCCCAGGAGCAGTGACTTGTGGTCTGCAGCGTTGCCCCTCCATCCGGGGCTTTGAGAGCCTACATAAGCCTCCCCCCCCCCCCAGTGAAAGAGAGATGAGAGGAGGGCTCAGATGGGGAGGGAAGCTGTGAGCAGGGAAAAGGGGGGCAGGGTTGGAGCGCCCAGCCCATTGACTTACCACACTGACACCCAGTCAGGCTGTAGAAAAGTGGGGACCGCAAATCAGCTGTGGCTGTGGCCGGAGATTTTAGTGTCATGGGTCTGTCCCCAAACTCACCTCCCCCAAGCAACCAAGCCATGAAACTAAGAGTCCTGTTGCTTCAGTGGGTTTATTTCTGAGGAATGTATACTGCAATTTGTTAAGGGACACAAGAAGGACTGCATCCGTCACAGCACCAAGGCTAGGCCTGGGCCCTTCTCCATTCTGTCTTGGAGTCACTGCCAAAACCCCAAGGCCAACAAAAATCCCTTCAATTTGAGTCCAGGAAATAGTTTCAGGCATTGACAATTCTTACACGTGATTATTCAAAGAATGCAAGACAGTCACAGCTCAGAGAAGTTAACTACAGAAATCAGTAAGAAACAGCGGGAGGGAAGGCTTCATTTTCTTAAAATGAAGGTCACACACAAAAGTGGAGAAAACGTGGTGGAAGCTCCGCCCCTCTGACCAGGGGCCCGGAGGCAGGGTGTGTGCCAGTGGTTCACTTCAGCAGGCCCACAGGAACAGCTGCGGAAACCGGGAACCACAGTTTGCTAGGCAGGGTCTGAGGAAGAAGCTGCTGAAGCGGATCTATCTGCTGCTTTGAATGAATACCCGGGAAGGATCAGAGGGGCCAAAGGAATCAATGGAGAAAAGTCCCTGGCCGCCTTGCCTCAGTCAGACGCAGGTGTCAGGTGTAACATGCCCCAGCTGACAACACACACATCTGCATGCAGACCCTCACCACTGCAGACACTAGCAGTTCCATAGGATAATTTGGTGTTGTGCAAACAATACATCCCCAGTGTATTGCTAAGACACAGGTTCTTCTGTTAGCCAGGTCTGATCATAGGTTGAGACAGCAGCCATTAGAATCAAAGTGCGAATATGATATGGTTGCTGCTGGCAGTGGGCCAGAGGGTGGGGGAGCCAGCACTGAGAGTGAACAAGGGAGTGCAAGAAACCGCTGATACAGCTATTCCTGGATGGAGCCACGCCATTCAGAGGAAAGTCATGGGTTTGGTCCTGTGGGGCAGAATGGAGCGGGGTCTAGCTGTCTGGCTGACTTGGTGCTAAAGCCAGACTCTGTACAGAGGCTAAGGCTCCTACACACCCACAATTCAATGTTAGGGGGAGGAGGAGTCAAAAGAGCCCACCCCAGAGCAGGAGGCTAGTGTGCCTTGTCACCTTCAACACTGCTGTACAGAGGCTAAGGCTCTTACACACACACACAATTCAGTGTTAGGGGGAGGAGGAGTCAGAGCAGCCCACCCCAGAGTGGGGGGCTAGTGTGCCCTGTCACCTTCAACACTGCGGTACAGATGTATATCAAGATTCCCAAAGGGGCGGGGCAGGTCAGGAGATCGCGGTGCCCTGCGCCCGCCCATGAATCAGCTTCTGAAGCCATCTGGTAAAATGAAAGTACATTCACTAATGGAAAAATATATTTGTCTCTCAAGTCTGTAATGTGGTCCAGAATCAGTATCTCTGGCCTTCTAGAAACATTCATTTTACGCAAGGCTTTGTCAACTTCTGCTGTTAACAGTGCTATGAGAAGAATCCCAAGTGGACCAGTGCCCTCGCCACCAGGAGGCTTTGCATTCATCCCTTCTTGTCCTCAGCTCTTCACACAGATACTCCATGTGGACAGAGCCAGACTCTGGGAACGCTTTACTGAGGGCAGACTGGAGTGTGGCTACATTCCAAGGAATGCTGCTGTACCCTGGCTAGGGCTCTGCGGGCCCCCACTGGGGCACCCGCTCGGCTTTGGCACCTTCTCAGTTCCACATCTGGTTCTCAACTTTCCCGTGCCCAGGAAGCAAGTTCCCTGGCTGGCCGGCACAGCCTGTTGTTGGGCAGGGCTTGCCTGTCCCAACCATTCTACCACATTCCCATTGCCCTACAACCCCTGATTAGTTTTCAGCTCCTTTTCTTGTAAACATGTCATCAATCCTTTATGTAACTCTTCCCCCTCTGGGGTGGGAAGGAGAAACCTCATCACGGGAAGGAATTCTGGGAGGGAAGACTAGGGGCCTGCAGGTCTACAGAGGTGCCATCATGAGTCCCCGACATGATTTATAGAGAACTGATGCGAATGGAATCAGATCCACAGGAGGTCAGTGTAGCAAACAAAAAGGAGATGCAACTCCATAAAACTAAACTGGAGGGACCAGGCGCGGGGATCAGGGACTGGCTATACCACACGGGGAACAAGTGCCCCTCTGCTTTGAATCTCTGACTTTTTGCTTGGGGAGGCTTGGCCAGACCCCACTTCGAAATCCCAAAGCGAGTGCGATAAATGGGAACCAAAGGTCTTGGTACCATCTATCATGGTTCCTCCATTTAAAATAAGGGGGGGGGTAGGGTTTAAGAAAAACAAAAGCCCCCAAACTCTGGCCCAATGTGATGAGGAATGCCACAAACTCCCTCTGACCCTGTGGGAAACATGCCCCACTGTCAGTCATTGGGCACTGGACAGAGATAAAAGTTCTTTTCCTCCTGGGGTTTGCTGATCCAGTTCCCATAGCCCATGTCCCGCAGGCTTTTCTTGAAGTAGTTCTTGGCTAACTCGTAGTCTCGGGCAGCTTTCTTGGCCTCCCCATAGGAGAGCTGCAGTAGATCTCTCCGGGCACGGAAGGAGCACAGCTTCTTAAACTGAAGGAAAATGTTCTTCTTGGACACCCGAGACAACTCCTTCCCTGGTCTGGGGAAACAAAGGCATTGGTCATTCATCTAGAAGCAGGTGAGGTGAGGGCTAAGGTGTGAATTCTGCAGAAGGTGGATGGCCCTTGGGAGCGGCAGCAAGCCTGGTGGGCCTCTCCCGTGCCTTCTTGCCTACTTACCCATCCACAGTGCCTCTGGTGCCATCCAAGATCTCCAGGTCATAGCCGTCAGCCAAGCACCAGTTGACACTTGTCTCCTTGGTCTTTCCAGACTGCCTTTTGGAGTCATACACGCTGACTCGGCCGACCTAGGAACCCATGGAGTAATGGGAGAAAGGGAACCCTTTCAGAACAAAGGTTTGGGGGCAGGGCGGCAAGACTGCTGGGTAAGGAGTGTAAGGCCCTGGTCGTTCCCTTTGAGAGCTGCACTAACTTCACCATGGTTCAGATTGCACTTCGGACTGAGAGCTGAAGCCCAGACACCCAAAAGGAACAAGCACTTGCTCTTGGGACCCCAGCAAAGGCTTCCCCATCCATAACGCTTTGTATAAGGAGGTGTGTGTCAAGAGCAAACAGAATGGGGTAGAGCACCTTGGGGTGGTTGACAATAAAGGGGTAGCGGAGCCCGTCCTCAAATGCATTCCCATCTCTGGTCACACGGCAGCAGATGGCACGGGTCAGATGCCCTTGGCTGAAAAGGTAACCTGGGTGAAAACAAAAGCAAGTTTACACCTGGGCTGCCGAGAGGCAGAGGTACACAAGGAGCTGGGAGAGAAGAAGCAGCTCCTTTGCTGTGAGACGCTTGACTGTGTCCACACAAGACACACAGGACATCAAATACCTAGGCTGGAGGAAATGCAGAGGACTGGGAGAGGATGGGAAGGAAGACCCCGAGGCTCTGAGGGGCCTTGCTGCACCCCAGGACCCATGTGGTCTGGCATGTCTTTCCTCCATTTGCTTGCTGCCCACGCCCACCTTCCCTGCCACAGCAGACTGAGCACTTAGATTCTGTTTTTTTTTTTAAGATTTATTTATTCATTAAGTATACAATGTTCTGCCTGCAAGTATGCCTGCACACCAGAAGAGGGCACCAGATCTCATTATAGATAGTTGTATGTCACCATGTGGTTGCGGGGAATTGAACTCAGGATTCCTGGAAGAGCAACCAGTGCTCTTAACCTCTGAGCCATCTCTCCAGCCCTTGATCCCTGTTCTTAAGCGAAAAACCCAGCTCGCTTGGGAAGGGAGCCATAGGAACACAGGACAAATGGCTTGCTGGGATCTGGTCCAAGGACAGGAGGATTCCAGCTCCCAAAGTAACTCCCTTACCTAGTGTTACAGATTTCAGGTACACAGGCTGTAGGAAGTGAGTCAACAGTGCCCCTTGCAGGCCCAGCACATTCCAGCGTAGAATTTTGTCACTACAGGACATGGTACGGAGTCTTTCCCCAAGTCGGATGCCATCCCACGTGGGAACAATGTCACTGGACTCCACAGGAATTGTGCCTTCCCCTGCATGAGAGACTTGAGTTGGACTGATGAAGGCCACTGGATCAAACCATATCCTGGGCACACTATGTGTGCGCCCAAGGTATGGGCCATTGGCTGCTTATATTTTATAGTACCTACTATGTGCCCTACTATATGCTTGGTACTGAAAATCACATGACTAGGAGAACGAGACTTTGCCTCTTGCTATGTTTATGGGCTGGAAGGGAAGAAAGGGAGAGGGAAAAGACTGGCAAACAGACACGTATGCAGAAACTGGGAGCTCGCAGAGCTCGGAAGACTTGAAGGAGCGATGACCGGGACAGCACAGAAATGGCGAGGGCATAGGAGTCAGGGAAGCTAAGCACAAGGGCGTGTGGCAGACAGAGACAGCAAAGGCCCCGAGGCA